TAATGCTAATCCAACCGATAAGATCGATCGCTGAGAGATTGATCAGACGCATCGCTGTGGTGATTGCTTGCTTCCATTGCGCATGCTGCTCTTGGTCACGGATTGATTGATGGCTGCCGCCTGGCCGCAGGTTCTAGGTGAGGGGAGACGAGCCTCTCAATCGGCGATGGAGGGGAGTCGAGGTCAGGGGTGCTCTCGGAGACGGCGTCCTCGAGGTCGGTTCAGTCGTCTTGCAGTCTCCAGCGTCGGTACTCTTCACGGAGGTTAGAGCTGTACTGTACTTTCCTCTCGCATGCCCTGAAACGGTGAATCCTGAATGAAAATTTTTCTCCTGTAACCTGTGCGATTCGTCATGATTACTCGATGCTGCACATGTTGAAAGAGCACGCAGCTTCAGTGTCAAATTAAGGAACCCACAGAGGAGGAGTAATTCGCAAGCGCTAGATATATAGGCGAGCAGCGAGCATAGGGAACCTGGAGAAAGGACACAAGTAGACAGCTACCTCTAGTCCTCTACCAATTCTGAACCGTGTTTAAGCACTGTTCAATTCATCGTCCATACCGTGCATACACAGCAATCTTGCATTATTTCAGTTCAGCAGTCTATTAACTTCTTGCTGTACTACAATTCAACCGTCCTCTTCACACCACATTGAATTCCTTTAGGCCACAAGTACAGTACCACTGTGGTGTAGTCAACTGTCCGGAGTCCATCTTCAAGAAAATGGTTGACAATGGTGCCAGTATGGTTTAAACTTGCAATACTGTAAAAATAGTTTTTGGCAAAGCTTGCGTGTAGAAAATTTCTGATGTCAGCAAGGCCTAGGGTGTTGAGAAGCCTTTCAATTGATTTGTGCCAACATAGCAAAATGGAAATTTGTTCTAATCATTTACTGGTTGTCATTTTAGCATTCTGAAGCCACAGGAAGGCGCATTGGACATGTCACCACGGTTCTCCTATTGCAAGCCTGTGAGTAAACTGGACCCATCTTGCTGTATATATATTTTTTCTGCAAGACATTTATCCAGTTTACTTATTGTAATGACCTTGTATCATGCAGGCCACACATAGAGATAAGATGTTCAACAGAAGACACTCTCTGAACTTGCCAGAGCAATTGCCAGGCCATTACTCCAGAAAAGCATCAGAACGAACCCAAAAGGCTACCTCAAAGGTTTGTAGCAACTCCTACAAAATTGACTTGAACTGTCGAGAACAGTATATTTATCTCAAAGCAGATGAAATATGAAAATGCATATGTTGTAGGCTACTGTTCATTCATAGAGTTATGTATCTTTTTATTCAGGGTAAAGGTTTAAAATCTGCGCTGCGCAAGCCAGCGCGTCTGATCGACGATGATGGCTAGGTAGTATGATTAGTGAGTAATAGCCCATGATCTCCTTAGGCTAGGGAGGGCAGAGCCGATTGTATAACACTAACCCCCCTAGTGTGCCATGTCCGTGGCGCGTCGTTGTAACTTTCACTTTTCTCGATCTTAATACAAAGATGCACAAACATTTTTGCGTATTCGAGAAAAAAACGGTTCAAAATCTAAACACGAACATGTTCATCACACTGAAAACTCTGAATTGAGAAAATATATTCCATCAACTTGTTCACCAGTCAGACTATCATGCTGCATTTTTAGTTCTGATCTTGCCTTTTCGCAGTCTGTTGCAGATTTAGTTGGGGAGATTGCAGCTCTCGAGCAGGAAGTCATACGCAAGGAACTGCATCTGCTTTCCCTCTATAGAAGGGCGTTTGATCAATATGTATCTGAATCCTGCAGCTTCACAAGTGAGGTACCTAACTCCCCGTATTAGATGAGATGAGATGAGATCAGATCAGATGGTATGAAATCTAAATATCCAATATCCTAATATTGCTATCACTAGCAGCAGGTGGATCAAGAAATTCTGAAAAACATCGACGAGGGCGCACTCCGTTTGAGGGACATAAAGCACTCTGCAGCGTTCAACGTGCCCACCGTCTCAAATTCTGTCAGTGCACATATCATTTGTTTCATTCTTTCATGCTAGTAGCACGATCTTTCTAGTTGAAAAACAACTGACACCTCATATGTTGCAGGAGGTATCAAAATCAGGCGCAAGGCATTCCAGCCTTGTCAACTTCTTGAGTGCTTCTATTTCTGAATATGTGCCTAAGATCTCATGCAAATTATCGGAGGACATCTTAGGCTGCATTGCTGCTGTCTACTGCAAACTTTCAAGCACGGAACCGCAAGGCGCAGAATGCATGGCCTCACCAAGTCCTTCTGTTTCATCTTCAAGTACTTTTTCTCCGAGGCGCCGTAATGATAGTTGGAGCCCTCGGTACAACTTCGATAGCCCACGCCCGTGTGGACTTCAGAAAGAGAGTTGTGAACAAAACATAGGCATGATTGTCATCCCGAGGATACGCATTGATGCTGACAAGTTTGATTATGCCTCAAAAATGCTTGAGACTATCAGGTAACCAAAGGAAACAAGAAAACCAGTGAAATTTCCCTTTGAACTGCTCCTTCAGTCCAGTAGTACCAAGTCAAACCATCTTGAGTTTGACCAAGTTTATGTAAAAAAAATATCAATATCTATAATACCCAATAAGCATTATTAGATTCGTCATGGATTATATTTTCACAATACACCTATTTTGTGTTATAAATATTGATAATTTTTCTACAAACTTAGTCAAACCTTAGATAGTTTGACTGAAGACTGAACTAGAATTGCATCATTTTTAGGACAGAGTTAGTATTTACTATTAATCTATTATTGAGTGGGATACCATAGTTAATTAAGACAAAATTCTTCGGGCACTGATTTTTATATTTATTCATGCTGTGTCCCAGGTCTTTGATACAGCGCCTCGAAAAAGTTGACCCAATGAAGATGACACATGAGGAGCAGCTTTGCTTTTGGATTAACATCCACAATGCTCTAGTCATGCATGTATTGCCCTATGCTGAAATTTCAATCTCAACTTTCCTATGTCCCATGGTTAACCCATAACTCAGAATTCATCCTTAACCTGCATTACTGCCTTGTGACATGACAGGCTTTTCTAGCCTATGGTCTACATGACAAACGCATGAAGAGCACGGACATGATTCTGAAGGTACGGCATTTCATTTCCTCGTGCTATCTACCTCTGCTTACACACAAATGTATCTGACCATTTTAACGAATTTCACTGAGACGAATTTGCAAAATTTTTCACCAGGCTGCGTATAATGTTTGTGGCCAATCTGTAAATGCCCAGACTATTCAGAACTCAATTCTTGGATGCCAATCCCATCGTCCATCATTGGTACTTACATTTGCAAAACATGGCATTTCCCTTGACAACAAAAAACGCAGGCATCAGGAAATATATACATAGCAAACAAACTAACGTGAATTACATTTCAGTGGGCCCGCGTGCTATTCACACCGACGAAAAGATCCAGTGCAGGGACGGCAAGGCACCCCTATGCTCTCCACCATCCAGAACCAGTTGCGCATTTCGCCCTCTCGACCGGAGCATTTTCAGACCCACCTGTAAGCTCTTTGATCATACTAGTACCATTATTCAGAGCATATGGCAAGACAGCATAATAAGCAGCCTTCTCTTGTTGCATCGCAGGTCCGGCTGTACACGGCGAAGAAGATACACCAGCAGCTGGAGGCGGCGCGGACGGAGTTCATCCAGGGCAGCGTGGTGGTGCGGAAGCAGGCGATGCTGCTGCCCAAGGTGCTGCACTACTACGCCAGGGACGCCGCGCTGGAGCTGCGGCACCTGGTGGAGCTGGTGTGCGAGAGCATGTCGGACGCGCAGCAGAAGCAGCTCCAGCAGCACGGCATCCGGCGGAGGGTCGACAAGTGCGTCGAGTGGATGCCGTACAAGTCGTCCTTCAGATACGTTGTACATAGGGACCTGGCTGACTGACTAGGCGCCACGTACGGTTGCTATGTTTTGGTTGCTTGGTTGGTTTCGTGTCCGTTCAGATACATGCGTCGTGTCGTGACAAGTTACAAAGTGTAAGTGGCGGGGTCTTGGGTGTGCACGCGAAAGAGAGTGCGCATGTAAATACAGGTGTGGTCTTGATTCGTGAGTGGTTTTGACTTTTGAGCTAGGAATTGTGGCTTGAAATACTGTACATTTTCTTTTGTGGCTTGAAATACTGTACATTTTCTTTTGTGGCTTTGCATTGGGGAATTTGGGATTGCCATCCAGTGAAATTAGTGGGAATAATTCGTAAGGATTATCATCCAATGATTCAGATCGTGGAGCCATTTGTCCATCCGAACCTTAGTAGCCATGTTACCATAAGGTATGTTATTTTATAACACGAGAACATAAATGTTTTCGAATCGGAACGGGGACGTTCCCGGAACGACGTTAGCCATGTTCTCATAAGGTATGTTACCATAAGGTATGTTATTTTAGTTCTCATAAGATATGTTATTTTATAACGTGAGAGGATAAATCTTTTCGAATCGGAACGGAGACGTTCCCGGAACGACGTTTCCAGAAGGTGGAACGTGGCCATGTTCTATGTTTCCGGCTGCTAAGATCCAAACTGGCACACGGCGTTCGGTATTTGCCTTGCACTTCAGCGAAGAATGATCTGCGCGGCCGTGCGGGTTGCAGTCTCAGTTGATTGCTTCCACCGGTGCCTCCGATCACCATTATCAGTCCTCACCGACAAGCCGACAACCACAAGTACAGCAAATGGAAGTTCGCAAAACGAACAAAAAATGGTAAAGCACATGGCGAGCGTGACATTTTATTCATGTAGTCGTAGAACCCGTGAGCGATGACCCTTTTTTTTTTCCCTATAAGATTCCGTGAGCGATGAACTGACAGCAGCAGTTCACGCAAGGACGCTGCTCATGACATGGAATTATTGAAACAAATTGACAGGGAGCAAGCGAGTTCTGGACGCGACCCAACTGTGTTTGGCTATGGCCTGTTCTTGTCTTGTCGGGGACAAGACCTCTTTCTCCCTCAATCTTCATCACAGGGGGCACTCCAGCAGGTGACCCTGGTCTTTGAGCGACTGGACACAGTCGTCGAACATCTCCTGCACTCCTCTGAACTTGAAGCCCAGCCCCTGCAGCTTCGACGTGTTCAGCTGGTACGACTGCTTGCCGTAAGGGCTGTTCAATCTGCAGAGGAATTACAGCATTTCAGTCAGAGATTTAGCTTTGGTTTCACCTGTCAATGGCAGGTATCCAAACGACTAACCTCCGGGGTATGGGGAATATCGGGTATCGTTTTGCGAGCAAGGAGACCAGCTCGTCGTTGTCCAGCACCACCGAGCTGCACAGGTATCTCCCAGTGGCCTCGGGGGCCTCGTACACCAGGATATGGCTGCTGGCAACATCGTCGATGTGAACGTATCCCATTCTTCCGTAAGAACTGAACCTTGCCGTGTCACCTGAAGAAAGGCCATTTCGTTAGGACTCACTTGTGTAGCTGAGTATACCTCTTGTGTTTAACATGACACATGAAAAAACAGAGCTAAATGGTGATGCGACAAGGAACATGAATGAATACCTTGGAATAAGCCTAGGACATCTGAAGCGGTAATACATAGTTCATGGGATAAACTAGGCCCGATCACGAATGATGGAAGAACAGTCACAAGGTCAATGTTGTTCTCCTTGGCAAATTCCCATGCCGCTTTCTCTGCAAATACCTTCGCTAGGGCATACCATAGCTTTGGATGAATAAAAAGGATGATAACATTTTTTTCAGATCACGGTTTGAGATCGATCACATGGTAATGCAGAAAAAAAAGGTAGGGAGTAGACTGTTCCATATATCACCTGCATCTTTTCACAGAGCGGCACAGAGCTCCATGTTGTTTCATCCAGTGAGATATTAGGCTGATCATCATCCCTAATCCTCACAGCAGATGATGAAGATGTAAGAACAACCCTTTTCAGAAATGGGTTCTTCTTGCATGATCTTAGCACATTCAGAGTACCGTTTACTGCTGGAACGAGTGTTTCCTCCTGCAACATGAATATCACATGAAAACAGTTTAACTTCAGGGCAGATGCATTTCCATAGAAGGAAACTAGAATTTGAACAATGATTTTAACTTCTAAAGCCACAATAAAGTAGCAACTTGACACAAAACCCTGAACGAAAAAACTGTAGTAGGATGATTCAGATGCATATGTAGCATGATGGTAATGACTGATGAAAGAGTGGACTGTTTAAAGCAAATGCAGCATGCCTTGCTACTAGAATCAGATTTAGCGAGGACAGGGGATGCAGTGTGGAAGACGCCATCACAGTCCATCACGGCTTTGTCAAAGCTCCCTTCTTCCAACAGATCAGCTCGCACAATTTGCAGCCTCTCTTTGGCACCAGGTAACTTCCAAAGGTATGCCGTCTTTTGGTGATTTCCTTATAAGTTACCAAAAAAAAAGAACAGTTCATTATACAAAAAATGATATACAAGAACTAATGTAGTAAAGAGGATTAATTACAAAAGTAACTATATATATTCATAAATACCTGGGTCTCTGACAGTCCCTACCACATGATATCCAGACTCGAGAAGCCGTCTGATAAGCCAAGAGGCAACAAAGCCTGAAGCCCCAGTTACACATACTTTGCCCTTGTTTGAGCTCACCATGTTCTCAGACAGTGGCAAGTGATGCTGAGCTCCGATCCAAACCAACCTTCTCTTATAAGCATCAACAGGAATATTCTAGAGAAGAAAGAGCAAGCAGGTACATCATATCAACACAATTTTGGTGATCACAATTGACAGATACAAGCTGGGTTGGTTGAAGGTAGATTTACAATAGATTCTGGAGGCATCACATTCTAGGTGATAAGTTGGTGCAAAACAAAGTCGTGTGATTTACAATCAGTTTGCAGGCTCTTGCCAATTTTCTCTATCCATTCCCTTGTTTTCTGACAGTAAAAAGAAAGAAAGAAAGCGATGAGATAAAAAAATGCAGTGGGCTAGAGGTATAGCAAAAATGCACAAATGTAGGATTACTTAACTCCAAGGTGATCAGCCTTTTATCATTGTAAAAGGAGTCGAATTGCATAAGTTCAAAACAGAAATTGAAAAGATAGCAGAATGAAACTCCTAAGGTATGATTGATTCTGCGAACCAATCCCATTGCCACATAATTTTACGCTGAGTCACTGACGACATGATGGGAAAAAAGAAACTAAAGATAAACAGTTCGACTGACTGAACTACTGGCAACCAATTGAAAAGCCCTCATTGCTCTACATGCATTTGTCATGAGATGAAAATAAAATAACTCAGATAAATTACTGAAAATAAAACATGCTAGATCCCGTAAAAAATGTTATACTCCTGATGGTAATTTGGCGCGAGTGACTGCAGGTGAAGGTGAACCATGTCCATCTTGAGTTCTTGACTGCTGCAATGCAACACGCTGTACAGGCGCACAGACATTGCCGTGGTTCATTGACTGTATCTGACAGCAGCCCAGCTCGACGTTTGGTTACGGAGACAGTACTAGTCAGTAGGCAATGCCGTTCGGCGTCTCTCTGCCTGCTTCAACAGATGAACAATGACGTGCCATGTAGCCTGTTCCCAACGAGCGGCGTTTCCATGTGGTGTGAGCGTATGCGCAGCATGGCATGATCGAGACAAGTAGAGTGTCATCAGACGATCCTTTCAGCTAGCTCGGAACATTCATGATTCATGAAACGGACGAATTGAGGCTGTTTCCAATTCTTCATGTTGTAGCAATGAGAAATTCAACTACACTATCTTCTCGGAAGAAAATGTCGCGGCAAGAGCATCGACAACCCCATGGAAGCTGCTGAACCTGGCGCTCACGATGTCCACCTCAACGCCGAGGCCCCTCGCGCCACCGGCGGTGACCGGCCCGTGCGCGGCCACGACCATGCCGGGCCAACGCGCCGTCAGCCGCGCCCAGGTCCACCCCGCGGAATCCAGCCCCTTGAGCAGCCCCTCCACCTCGGCCGTGCTCGTGAACACGACGGCGTCGAGCGGCGCAGCGTCCGGATCCACCAGCGCCTCCGCGCAGCGCGGCCCGGCCCAGCACGTGGTGTACGCCGGCGCGCGCACGGCTACCCACCCGGCCGCCTCGAGCCCCGCGAGGAAGTCCGGCACGACGGGAGGCTCGCGGAGGCCGACGACGTCAGGGACGGGGCAGAGCACGCGGCGGCCGGACCCGCGGCCCAGCGCCTCCACGAGGCCGGCCGGGGTGGGCACGTCGGGGACGAGCACGGACACCCTCGTCCCGGCGGCGGCGCCGCAGAGGCGCGAGAGGAACGCGTGGTCCAGGAGGTCCGCGTCGCTGCCCAGCGCCGCGACGGTGAAGGGGAGCGCGGAGGCGTCGGAGAGGGGGTGGTGGGAGGACGAGGAGAGGGCGCGGGCGAAGGCGGAGATGCCGGAGCGGGAGGTGAACGCGAGTGCGGCGAAGGGGTCCAGGGTGCCGGGCAGGAGGAAGGGGCGGAGGCGGTCGGGGTCGTGCGGGTGGACGGCGATGGTGGGCACGGGGACCGGATGCGCGCCGCGCTGCAGCAGGAGCGCGCCCAAGCGGCCGCCGTAGGCGCCGCCGCCGCCCGTCTGCGGCGTCGTGAACGCCACTCGGCGGCCGGCGAGCGACGGGGTCTCGGGGAGGGCCTGCGCCATTTCCTTCCACGGCAAGGCGCTGCACGGAATGCAGAGAAGATTATCCACTTTCCACTGCTTTCGCGCGAAAGCTGAACTGTTCGTTTACGGTTCAGGTGACTGGAGAGACGAGAATGCAGAAGTCGCGAACACGGTGGATAATTAAGTCAATAATTTCAGATTTGTAGACTAATTACATCTGTTAGGTCACAGCTTGTTCAGTGCAGCGGCAGCCTTGCGTAAGCCAGCAGTGAACATCACAATTCACAAGCTGTCAGATGGTGTTAATATCAGCGAGCCAGGAGCGAGTGAACAATTTCTAGATCGACACAATGATCCTCCCGGTCATGGGAAGCCAAGTGTGGTTGCCAACATTATTAGGCTAGTTCACACAGATATACAGAGCATGACAATAGAAATTGAAAAATTTTGCATCAAGGTGCCATTTTGCACTGCATCGGAGGCTCGGAGCAGTGCCGGTTGAAGGTAGCATTTTGTCAGATGCGACCTCGCACCACAGGTTTCTTTTCTCTGGGCAGCTGACCACATTTGATGACCAGTGAGATGACGGCACTGTTCGTTTGAACTTATCAGCCATACCATTTCAGCGAAATAACAGTGTTTTTCTCTCACAACAAATCAGCATCAGCCGTTTTTCGAGCCAGCCGAACAGGGCCGATGTCAAATTTGCGGTAACAATTGTCATCTGGCTTCATGAAAATCTCAGTAAAGCAAGCAGTAAGTTGGCTTGATTGGGACGCTTCCTAGTGCTGGCTCAGATATAACAATCAACAATCACTGCCATTGGGTGTCAAATGGGAGTTCGATGGGTGTGGCGTTGCCATAGAACTCTTCCAGGTTGTAGAATGCTCGCTGCTGCGGAAGGAATATATGGACTACAACATCACCTGCACAAGTGTGAATCGTTAGCTAGGTCCACGAAAAGCTTTGAACCATTCAATTGGGCATCCAATAGGAATTCATCCTGTTTTAGACAAAGGCACTAAGCCACTAACCCATTTAAGCTAGTACACAAGGACGGTTCAGAAATGTGATTATAAAGAACTGAACGGTGCAAGTGAGAATTTCATTGCAACGAGTATGCAAGAAATGAACAGAACAAGGAGACTTGCATCATGCCAAGTTTGCAACTTGCAAAACTACCCCTATCCTAATCAGTTGGTTTTTGAATTTTTTCCCCATCAAACAGAAACCTCACATGAACATTGTTTTCTTAAACTGAACATCCATATATAAACCTTTTTCTGAAACAATGAAACTAGGGGTCGTTTGATACTACCATGAGCTAATTCATGTTCGACTTAAGAGATAATATGGATAATGGTTCTTTTTGCTTAGAAAGCAAATAGTTGGATCTTCTGGTAGAAGTTGACAACCTGAAATGAGTAAACCTAATAGATAAAACACAATACAGAAAATAGAGACTTGCCAAAATCCAGTAATGTCCAAGAATTTGGTTTCGTATCACCAGATGCAACTATGCTAAACTGCTTCTCGCCAATATCTCTCATTTTGGAACTACAAGGTAAAAACACAAACTCTTTGTCAGCTGAAATTAAGTGCACTAGTTATATAATCTTGATGTTCAGCAAGAGAATATCTCAGCGTATACCTGATAGCATCTATCTGAGCATTTGAGAAGGCAGTGAGAATGATGAAGAATCTAGTCCAGTAGACAAGCCGCTTCACGCAAAGTACACGGATATCAGTAGCCTTTATCTCACTTGCAGCTTTAGCCAACGAGACAGCAACTGCAAAGAAAGTATACAGTCGGGTCTAAGATTAACAGTGAAAGATAAAATGCAGAAAAAAAGAAAGAAAATACTGTTTCAACAGTCTGCAGTGACTAGTATGTGTTAAAATTTTGCACCAGTGCAATACGGCAGATACACTATGCAGGGGTGCGATCGGGAAATCGTGTACACTTCAGCACCAAACCATTGTTACAGCACAAAAAACTTTTCATGGCAAGCCTGATTCGTGGTATGGCTTGGACCTTGAGGAGTTGAAGGAAAGAGGGAGAGCGGGGAGGCACATACAGGACAAGCACTCAGCATCGTCGTCGGCCTCAACGGTGGGAGACGGAGGTCCACCGGAGCTGTACACCACCTCGCCGTGCTGTTTGAGCAAATCCTCGAGCAACTTGTCCGCATCGTCCCCTCGCCCAAAGTTCTAAGCGATGAACCAGAGTGAGGAATCAGAGCAACCGCTAAAAGACATCCCAAGAGAAGGGAGCTCGGCACTCACCACATTAGACGAGGAAGAAGACCGAGAGCGAGCTCGGCAGGCGACGGTGGGCGTCGGTGGCAGGTCGCTACTGCTCCTCAGTGGCTGCTGGGGGCTGCTCCTGTGGCCGCCGCTGCCTGGGGAAGCGCGCCGCGCCCGCGGGTTCAGAATGACGGCGGCCGGGGGCGCGCAGGCGAGGCCCTGGCTCGAGACTGCGGCGCCTGCACCTCCCATGCTAGCAAGTAGCTCCCGCTGCAAAACCTTCCGCGGCAGGTGGACGAGAAGTAGCGCGGAGAACGGGTCGAGTGAACGACAGAACGAGATAAGCAAGCAGCACACTGGTTGAAGAGGATAGGCCAGACTTTTTCTTTTTCACCATTTCGTTTCCAATTTAAACGGTCACGCGTAAGGGCATCCTTTCTCCGGTGAGCCATGTTGCCATTTACTGCTCACTTCATCCACGAAAAATACAATTCTCATATTTCAAAAAGTTAAATAGTTTTAACTTTGACTAAAATTATATGAAAATATATTAACACTTATAAGACAAAATAAGTATCATTGGATTAGTTATAGAATATATTTTTATAATAAATTTATTTCAAGACATAAATGCTAATATTATATTTACTATAAGCTTTGTCAAAGTTAGACTAGTTTGACCGGCACGTTTCTTATAATTGCATTCTTTTCCGGACAGAGGGGTATTTCATCTCTCTTTTTTTATGACAACTACTTCCTCCGTTCCAAATTATAACCAAAGTTCGGCTTAGCGGCGACTACTCGACGACTACGTGCGCGCCTAGTCGCTGGGCGAAGCCCGTCGCCGCGATTAGGGGCATAGTCGCGCATCGCGGCGCTAGGTGGCGCGTAGGCGCGCGAGATGAGCGCGAGCTCGAGGGCGGCCAATTTTGGCGCGCCAAATTGGAGCGCGGGAGGAATTCCGCGTGGCGAGCCCTGCTGTGTGACCACGAGAGACCCAGCGCGGGAGGATTAGAAGGGCCTTGGCGCCATTCGCTGCGTCTCCACAGAAGATTTGGTCGTCCCCGCCGCCGGTCCTCCTCGCCGGGCGAGGTCCATCCCACCGGACAACCTCCTCCCCGCCGGTCCTGCTCTTCCCGCCGGTCCTGCTCCTCCTCTGCTCCTCCCCTGCTCGTCCAAGCTCGTCCCCGACTCGCGTGCCGCCGGTCCTGCTCGTCATCGACTCGCCGCCGCCGTCCTGCTCGTCCTCGACTGGAACCTCTCCCCGCCGTCGTCCTGCTCGTCCTCGACTAGAACCCCTCCTCCTTGCTGAATCCTCACTATAGCTATAGTGACCCATCAATCTTTGATCAGCCCAAAATATCAGAAGGGTTTATAGCTTGTGTTGAGAAATTTTATTATCATGATGAGGACATGCAGCATCAGGCTACCAACATTAAACTAAAGAAGTTTCAGAATAGAGAAGGACCCTTTAGCAAGAAGCTTGCTAGGACTTTTGAAAACTTTGATTATAACCCAGGTAGAGGTACTTCCTATAAGCTTGCATGGCTCATGGCTGTTTGTTGTTTGCTGTTTTCTAAACTAATAGAGGTGTTTTTTTTTATTTTAGCATCATGGTAGAGACTGTATGGATATGAAACACCAGCTTTACAGAAGATGGCTACAAGGATCCTATCTTTGACATCAAGCTCTTCTGGTTGTGAAAGAAATTGGAGTGGGTTTGAAGGGGTTAGTACCTATCTATTATGAACATTTTAGTTTTAGCAGCATTATAATTAAATTGTAGAACTGAGAATGCTCTTTTTAAATTGTAGATACACACTAAGAAGAGGAATATGCTTACTACAACCCACCTCAACAAGCTGGTGTATATCCAATTCAACTCCAAGCTGCTTAGTAAGAGAGAAAAGATCAAGTCAAACAAGGTTTTCTCCAAGAGGGTGGGGATGATTGTGCATTAGTTGACTTTAGAGATGGGGAGAAAGATGAGATGGAAGGTACAGGGATACCTTGGTCTGTCATTGGAGAGGCAGTGGGAGCAGATGAACAGCTTGAGCTACGTAGAAGTGCAAGAGTGAGGGAGCTCTATGAAGGAGAAGAATTTGAGTCTGAAGAAGAAGAGTATGACGATGAGGATGTGTACTACAATGAAGAAGAAATATGATCTGGACCCATCTAGTAGTGAAGCCTTTTGTGATGCCCTGGTCTTATGAACTGCAGCTGTGTCACTTTGTGTCTGTGTGTCTTCTTTTGTGATTTATGAGACCTGAACTAAGAACTATGTGCTTGTGCTGTCCTTTATTTATAAATTATGTTGTGCACTTGTATTACTGTCCTATCCACTTGTATTGTAATTACCAGCTGCTGATATGGTGTGCTCATGGATGGAGGCTGCTGAAATCATCCAGATAAGTCACAACTTAGTGTTTTCTATTTTTTTTGATGAACAACTAACTGTCTATTGACTAATTTACTAACTACTAGCTGTCAAAATGTGTTGCAGGAGTTAGGAACATGCAAGAGTAAGTCAGCTAGGAATCAGATATGTCTACTGTCCCTCTTTTTATACTTACTGTGACTCATATATAGTAGTTATATATATATATAGTTATATTACATATATATATATATATAATTTATGGCTATATTGCCAAAACGTCTAGGAAAACGTCTAGGGCGCCTAGGATCGAGTACTCTTGACTAGGCACTAGGCAATGGGTCAGCGCCTAGAATCGCCTAGCGCCTAGCTGAACTTTGATTATAACACGTTTTGGCTTTTCTAAATTTATAGTTTTTATATGCATTTAAATATATATTATGTCTTGATACATAATAAAAACTATAAATCTAGAATATCAAAACGTCTTATAATTTGGAACGGAGGAAGTAGCTGATAACCAGAATCTGGTGCAGGAGAAAAAAAAGGTTTTTTTTGCATGCATGGTTTTTTTTATTCAGCCTGTTTGCTAGTTGGTTTCTAGGCTGATAAGCCCGGCTGATGCTGGTTTGTTGTGAGAGAAAAACACTGTATCATGACTGATAAGCCATGGCTAAAACCAACAAGCGAATAGGATGATTGGGTGGAATGGATCTACAATTATTTTGACATCAGCGAGCTTGATTAGAAATTCCGGTGATGAGAACAAGATTGTTGAAAACTTTTTTTTAGACTAAAAAGACTGTTGGGAAAAAAGGTAAGTGCATATCCTGTTATGGCAGGACATTTGCAAGATTTCAGAATCATTTGAGGAAAAAAGGTAAGTACATATCACGTATGCTATTTTTCTGAACATTCTACGAAGTTTGCTGAAGAAGGTTGAGTGAAGTATAAAATATTTAATGCTATGCTTCACAGGGATGTCTCAGCTAAGTTAAACAGGTGGGTATCCTGATCTAACTAATTCATTCATAGCTGCTAACAGTTCCACTAATGCATATCTCTATTATAATGGACCAATCCAAATTATACTAGGTACACCTAAGATTACGTCCCCCACTGAGGGAGTCCGACCATTATACACCAAACCAATTGCACCTAGCAAATCGTCTTTATTAAAATCAAGGGCTAAAAACCATCCTTCAAAGCCTTCAAACCCAATCCTGTGGCCAGGATGATTTGTATCAACTTCCAGGCTTCAACGCGCCCCATCGTAGGCTTCAACGTGCGACATCAACACCGCGGCAATGCGCCTCGCCCTGGATGGCCGACCAGCGATCGAATCCCAATCCCCAAATCTAAAAACGCAAAAAAATCCTTCCCCAACGCCTCGATCGCCCTGCTCGGCTGCGCCTCACGCCTGACCGCCCACCGCATCCGCGCCCCTTCTTCCCCGTGTCCGCTCCCCGCCGCAGTTGCACTCCAGCCTCCCTCCATGGGCACGGCGAGGTGGAGCAGGACACAGCGCCTCGGTAACCGGAAATCACCCCTGTCCATTTTTCCTCGTCTCCTGACTTTTGTTTCTCCCAATCCCAAATTGCCAAACCCTAGCGAACGAGCGGTGATCGACTTAGGCGAGGCGATGGTGTGCCGGGAAGGCGTTGACCGGACTCCGGAGTGCCAAGTGTGTAGGATCTTGGGCTGGGTGGCTACCGGACAACCGTGTGGAGGGAGGGCTGCCGGTGGTTGTGCCTGGCGCCGGCGGCCGAGCGAGGAGCGACGAGCGCAGGCTGCAACGGATCTCCGACCAGGGCTTGCCGGCAGCGGCGTAGCACGCCTGTGCACCATCTGACGAAGCATGGGCGGCTCGAGGACGACGATCGTGCACAGTGAGCAGGCAAGTATCGGTTAATATAGTTTCTGATTTTGCTAGAAATAACTGCCATGGCTATGTTTTTCCTTGATAAGAGTCTAAGTGTTTTTACCTATAGTAATAGAAAAATGATATAAGCATGATGTGCCTAATTTCTGGTGAACGTTCGATATTTCTGAATAGGTTGATGAAGTTCAACTGCACATGGTGCTACGATGACTTTCATAAAATAGGAAAAAGGCAAAGGGGAAAAAGGTTCACAACTATCTCTAATCTGAAGTGTTCTTATATAATATACGTTGCAATTATTTCTCTGTCAGCATTGGGAAGCTGAAACATTTGGGGACTGTAACCGATTACTGCTGGATTTTCTCACAACAACTTATGGGATTATTCCGCTTCAAAATTGTACCCTAGCATAATTAATACTACTAAGCACTACATCCTGCAAAAAGCTGATTGAATTGCTGCTGCGGTGGTGCAAATTGAATTCAGACACTACCTATGCACGCATGATACAACGGTTTGATTAACTGAAGCTAAGTTGACATCCTGTTGCTTGGCTTGGCTGCAGGAGTTCTACATCAGAGTTGACAATATAAAGCTAAGAGTTGACAATATAAAGCTAAGTTGACACTACCTATTTCATATTTCATTTGCTAACATAGCCGAGACGTAGTCGATGAACGATATTAAATGTAGCACATCCATATTGTAAGTTTTTTTCTTGGATGCACTTGGCTAGAATTTCTTTGGAGAAGCTTTTTTCCTGACTCTTTCGTTTTATGTGTTCATGTGCCTTTTCAATAATAAAGTAGTCTTGCAGGCAAAAGCAAGAACCGAAAGAAAAAATATACAACAAAATATGCTTGCTCTCCTTCCTGTTTGCAATTTGAAGAGAAAAATGGTATATTAATAATACTTATGTCCTTTTGTTTAAATTGTTGAAGCAATCCAGTGCAAGAGCATTGAGCGTTCCATCTTAACAAAAGAGGCATGTTTACTTAATATTAAGCAATAATGGGATGAGAAAATACTTCAAACTGTGGAGGTCCCTTATTTTCTAGGTTTTTTAGTATGTCGCATCACTCCTTGAACTGATAGAGTCAGAATTGGCGAGCTGAGTTATTCGAATGCTACCAAGCTGTTTTCTTATCCTGCCTCCAAAGTTGAAGCTGAAGCCATCTAAATGGGGTTCAACACTACCTTACTCACTGGTCAGCAAATCTGAAACCTGTTCTTTTCAGTTTTAACTCCTGTTTTTTCTCCCCTTTTGAATGCTCTTTGTGTACTAGATTGTAGGGACTCCCAGAAACAATGCTTGAAAACTGAGATGGTTTTACATCACTGTTAATATTGGTGTAATAGTTGGCGTCAGCATTTCTATCAAAACAAAGCTTCGGACTGTGCAGGCGGTGACGAGAAACAGGAAGCAGCAGCAGGCGGCGGATACAAAGAGGGAGACGAGGAGGAGGCGTGGCCGGCGGCAAGCTTCGGCCAATACAGAACGCGAGTGGAGCTGCCCAAGAACTTGGACATGGATAAGATCGACGCGGAGGTGAGGGACGACGTGCTCTACATCACCATACCCAAGCTGACAGCAGGGGGCAAGGTCATCAACATCCAAGTGCAGTGAAGTGAAGTCACGAGCTCTGCCTCTGAATTCTAAAATGGGACGGATCAGAGTTCAAGACGGACGATGAGCACCTGCTGCGCGCTTCTCAGCTTCTGGATGGACTGGATGGGACGTGAGCGACAGCGATCTACTACTCCTACAATCCTACTCTTGCTCTTCTTTCTTTTTTGTTTTTGCCACATGCGCACAGCGAAACACGGGGCCTCTGACCTCCTTTCACTAACAAAAAGAACCTGCTTAATAGATGGGCTGAATGTTAGTGGGTTAAAAAATAATAATGTTGAGTCCTTTTCCCCATGACTCGATATTTCAATACCGATCCTCTGTATTTTCCTGTTGTTTGATATTTGCACTTTGGTGCCCAGGTAACAGCATGTGGCTTTAGACTATGTGCAATGTTATCTGAAATACTTAAGGTTTGGTGAATGGAAGTTTGGTCATTTAAGTTAGCGGCGATTCAACAGTTTGCCTATCTCCTTTCGTAGAATAAACTATTCATCACCTTTTCTTAAAGTGTGTTGTGGCTAAACAGATGAGGCAGCTCTGAGGACGGACGACTTCTAAATGTAGGGGAGCCTGAAGACATGCTTGGTTATGCTTGGTTATAGATGTGACCACTAATGTTGAAAAATGTTATTATTCATATTTTGATAGGGTAAGATGGACTTCCTTTTTAATATTTCTTTTTTGTGTGAATCATAAATATAACTCATGAATCATAAATATATCTCAGTGATGCTTAATGACTTCACATATATGCCTTTTGGTTATTTAATTTGCATGGTTATATGCTACCGCTGCGTTAGCACGGGCATTATACTAGTCTAACTAATTCATTCATAGCCGGTAACAGTTATATATCTCCTGAACTATTATTCCAGGTGGCCTGTGCCCATGCCATGTTGGCGCCTTCCTAACTATGCTGCTGCTGATGATGATAATGACAAATATTCCTACTTTTACGGAGAGGAAGTCTTGCTTATATAGTCTTAATATGTGATGATTTCATATGTTTACCATTGACAAAAGTTGAAACTTCCTTTTCCATTTAGGTACCTTTTCAGTTGTATAAAAATTAAGCACAATATTAATGATGGATGATGAGTTAATGTTCTTGTAGTTGTCATTCAAGCGGCTCTTCATTGATTCATGTGTACACGAGGGAAACTTGAATCTAACTTTATCTATTACATGGAAAAGCTTGAGCCAATTTCTGTAGTTTTTCTACATGTGTATGCTCTGATTCCTTGCCAACATAAATTCTACATCTGTATATGA